TAGATTTCTAGTAGAACAAACTGTGTTTGCCACTTTGCCCCCTGACTCTGATATGATTTTCTACAAATTTTATGTGTGATTACCTTTACCTTTGCTTTTTGAATTGGTATATCCGTATTTCTGATTAATTAGTCTCTTGTTGGATTGATTTCTGATTATCATTTTTGTTATTCCAGCTTCGTTTAGCAGTGGGAGTAGTGCAGGTAGAGAGATTCTGGTGCAGCATTTGCTTGTTAAGGAGGATGATTCTAAGCTCTTGGTTGAACTCCAGAAGAGAATCTTGGAGGGTCTGATTCTTTATCCCTTTTTTACCCCCTTTAATATTTACATTCAAATGAGATTAAGCTATTATTTCAACAAAGTTACATAGACCTGTAAAAGATTATATATAGTCAAATAACGTTCCGTTGTTTCTGCGAAGAGATTTGTTGTCACCTTAATGTGTTTGTGTTAGAAGACTAAAAGGTTGTGTAACTGTTTGGTTGTGAAGGAGAGGATATGAGTGATCTTGCAGCAGAGTACTCCATTTGTCCTTCTAAAAAGGAAGGCGGTATACTTGGATGGGTCAAAGTGGGTCAAATGGTACGCTCTCTTTTCTATAGTTGAATCTTAGCCATTTCTTTTGGTTGGGAGATTGAATTTGAGAGTGTTATTGCATTGGCTCCCTTGCTGTGTTAGCATCGTTACTACACAAGTAACTGGGTGATGTAACAATTCCTGGTGAATTAACTTTGCAGAGCATGACAGACCACTTAAAATGGTTTTTCAGGTACCAGAGTTTGAGGAAGCTGCGTTTGGAGCAGAGCCAAATCATGTGGTGAAGTGTAAAACCCAATTTGGCTGGCACCTATTGCAAGTTCTATCCGAGAGGTACTTCTTCTAAAAGCCATCCTTCGTTAGCGACGTTTTCTATCAACTGTTAACGGAAAAGTTTATATTGACAGGGAACCTGTGAAAGATATTCAGGTGGAGGAGCTGCATTCCAAAATGCAAGATCCAGTTTTCATGGAAGAGGCTCAGTTAATTGATGTCAGAGAACCTGACGAGATGTAAGTCTCCTTTCATTTCTCATTCTTGACATACATTCCCTTCTTCACTGAAGCCCAATGTAATAGCTTCATACTCTCTAATCACTTCACAACATTATGATTCAAGTGTAACGTGCAGAGTTTGATTGTTCTGCCGTTTAAATACATGTGTACCTCTCATCCTTTTATATTAGAAGAAGGACAAACTTCCCATAGTCGTTTCACATTGTTTTTTTTTCTTTCTTTGTAATTTGTTTCATTGCTTCCTGTACCAGAGCCAAGGCATCGTTACCAGGATTCCAAGTGTTCCCTCTCCGCCAATTCGGAACCTGGGCACCAGACATCACTACAAAGCTGAACCCTGAGAAGGATGTATTCGTCTTGGTATGTTCGGTCTTATCCGCTAATACATATCCTGCTGTGGTCTGTAGACTTTAAGATAGTTTATCCTCTTATGTTGAAATGATTTTATAATGGTTGTCTGATTTGTGGCCTTTGTTTCCCATACAGTGTAAGGTTGGTGGCAGGTCGTTGCAGGTTGCAAACTGGTTGCAGTCGCAGGTAAAAAGCTTTCCTGCTCCTATATCTGTATGTGTGTGTAAGATAAGGATGACGTGTTGATGGATTGTTGTCTTGTTCCTCAGGGCTTCAAGAGTGTGTACAATGTGGCTGGTGGGATACTAGCCTATTCTCGTAAGGTTGACCCATCAATCCCTACTTACTGAAAAAAAACTGCCTCATTTTGGAACTTGCTCTATTCCATTGTATCCTAATTCAAATAAAATATTGCGAGAAACTATATAATACAAGTAAGGCTCATTTGAGAAAGTGGCCTTGACATTAGAATATACAATGCAACCCTCCGAAATTCTCCAGGAAATGCTCTCAACCTTTTGTACTAAATCCTAAAATAAAATAATTAATATTTTGCTTTAAATAACGTAATTACAGACAGACTTTTGGTTCCTAAAGTTCCTCCCGATCAGCAACATTATCGTTTGAGAACTGAAAGCCAGCAAAAACAAAAAAAAAAAAAAAAAAACTTACAAAACAGAAAAATGCTATTCATAGCCATTCTTAAGCAAAAACTCCTAAATTTTCTTGCTAAAGAAGAAACCAAACCAAAAAAGAACAATCAGAGGAAGGAAGAAGAGAAATAAAGAAAATAAACCTTTTAAAAAAACACAATTTCTCTTCCTGGCTGAGAGCTTACTTCCTCTCCCCTTATTGCAACAATGGGAAATTGTTGCTCTCATGGACGAGACTCAGGGAACAAAGACGAATCTACGCCGGCAAATGGAGGAGGTGGAGGCGCCGGTGCTGGCACCGGTGTGGAAGCCTCCGTGAGAGCTTCTAGACACCCACCAGCATCTCCTCCTCCTGCAACCAAACAAGGCCCCATAGGACCTGTCTTAGGCCGACCAATGGAAGATGTCAAAAGCTCATATTCGTTAGGGAAAGAGCTTGGTCGTGGACAGTTTGGCGTGACCCATCTCTGCACACAAAAGTCCACGGGACTACAATTCGCTTGCAAGACCATCGCCAAAAGGAAGCTTGTGAACAAAGAAGACATTGAGGACGTGAGAAGAGAGGTGCAAATCATGCATCACTTGACGGGACAACCAAACATCGTTGAGCTAAAAGGAGCCTATGAGGACAAACATTCCGTGCATTTGGTTATGGAGCTTTGCGCCGGAGGAGAGCTGTTCGATAGGATCATCGCAAAAGGACATTACTCTGAGAGAGCCGCTGCTTCGTTGCTAAGGACCATTGTTCAGATTATCCATACTTGTCATTCAATGGGTGTTATCCACAGGGACTTGAAGCCTGAGAACTTCTTGTTGCTGAACAAGGAAGAGAATGCTCCTCTCAAAGCCACAGACTTTGGGCTTTCCGTGTTCTACAAGCCAGGAGAGGTGTTTAAGGATATTGTGGGAAGTGCTTATTACATAGCACCAGAGGTGTTGAGGAGGAAGTATGGACCAGAGGCTGATATTTGGAGCGTTGGTGTCATGTTGTATATCCTCTTGTGTGGTGTTCCTCCTTTTTGGGCCGGTAAGTCAAAAGATTTTTGATGTTTGTGTTATATATCTGTCAGAACAAGGACATAAAAAGGTTTTTTTTTTATCATTCATGTTTTGTCAGAGTCGGAGAATGGGATTTTCAACGCCATTCTAAGTGGACAGGTTGATTTTTCAACCGATCCATGGCCTGCCATTTCACACCAGGCTAAGGATCTTGTTAGGAAGATGCTCAACTCTGACCCTAAACAAAGATTAACCGCTGCTCAAGTTCTTAGTAAGCATCTCCTATATGTTTCAAAAGAAATTTAACAAGCTCCTATATTTTTGATTGAAACTGTTTAAATTAACATTTTTTTATTTTTTTTTGGTAAAGACCATCCATGGATCAAGGAGGATGGAGAAGCACCAGATGTTCCTCTTGACAATGCAGTGATGTCAAGGCTCAAGCAATTCAAAGCAATGAACAATTTCAAGAAAGTTGCTCTACGGGTAAATTATCAAGAATCTTCTCAAATATATATATATATATATGACTCTTTTTGGTGCTATCTATCTGATCACTGGCCTCATCAACCAAACAGGTGATAGCTGGGTGCTTATCAGAGGAAGAGATCATGGGGTTAAAGGAGATGTTCAAAGGAATGGACACAGATAGCAGTGGAACAATAACTCTTGAGGAACTAAGACAGGGACTTGCCAAGCAAGGTACAAGGTTGTCCGAATACGAAGTCCAACAACTAATGGAAGCTGTAAGTATTTTCTTTTCTGTGTGCTATGCTATTGTTATCTATTAAGATGCCAAAACAACAGAGGCTGATTGATTTTGTCTACATATAGGCTGATGCGGACGGTAATGGAACAATAGACTATGGAGAATTTATAGCAGCAACAATGCATATTAACAGGCTCGACAGAGAAGAGCATCTCTACTCAGCTTTCCAACACTTTGACAAAGACAACAGTGGGTAAGTAAACATTTTCTGGTCCTATATAATTATTAAAGAGAGATTTTAGCGAAACCAATATAAACAAACGATGGTTGGTGTCGGTTTCTAGATATATCACAATGGAAGAGTTGGAGCAAGCCCTGAGGGAGTTTGGCATGAACGATGGCAGAGACATTAAGGAAATCATTTCTGAGGTTGATGGAGACAATGTAAGCCCCTTTTCAAACATTCACAAAGTCGATTTGATAACTATAATAAGCACATGCAACAATCTAAATTGTGGACACATTTTCTTGTAGGATGGGAGAATAAACTACGAAGAATTTGTGGCAATGATGAGAAAAGGAAATCCAGATCCTAACCCTAAGAAGCGTCGTGAACTGTCGTTTAAATGACCCCTCTCGAACAGACAAGTCAGAAGAAAGCACATAAGAAAAACCAAGAAGAAGAAAAGTTATTGTAAAGTAGGCTTGGGTTGCTCAAGGAGAAGATCACCAAGAGAGGAAATGTATGTGATTAGGGAGGTGTTTCATGTTCGTAAATATTTTATGATTTGTCTACTACTTAAAAGTTTCAGAGGTTTCTCAATGTATCAAATTCCTTTTTTTTTCAATTCAAATATGTGCATTAGTGTTGTTTGTTAAATTATCGTCTCAGCAAAACATCCATTAACGTCATATTTTGGAATCCGACTGAAACTGAGAAATGATAATGCATAATTCACGGTTTAGTCATTGTAACTAGGATCCTAATTGTAGATTACAGAAAGAAAAAAAAAGTAAAAACAGGCAAAACAATCAAACAAAGAGCGACCACCACTCTACTCTTGTCTTCACATCATTTGCCCACTGGTGATGATGTGAGAGGTGAGTAACGCTGCCACGATGGCCGTCCTAATACGGCGTTTGCGTGAACCGAAAGGTAAGCGCCATTTAACCTACAAGAGAGCCAAAGGAAACAATGAATTGGACATTCAACTAGTAACCCACTCACAGATAACAACGTGTAAGAAAGTAATAGGAGTTTTACTTTTCAACATCAGGAGTGGCCTGAGGATCATATAACTCTTGCTCTGCCCCTGCAGAGTTTGTAATTTCCTGTGTACCATCTCCCTGCAAAATAGTCGACCATGAATAACAAGAACAATCCAATTATTATTAAATAGCTATCGAAGTTCGTATCCTTTACCTGTTGCGGATACTGGGGATAGCCATATCCACCATAAGCGTACAAGGATGGGTCTTGAGTTGTCCCATAACCATATGCATCATAGCCTTGTCCATAACCATAGTACCCACTCCACTGATTTGGATCTGCTTGTGTAACGTAACCATCCTTTAACAATAACCAAAGATCAACAACTTCATTCAGTGAAACATCGAGTAATACAAGGCCATATATCAAATCAGTCTAGCTGATAAAAAAAGTATTCACCTGTCCTGGATTTTTACTCCAAGAGATGCGAACTGGTTGTTGACCAATCATATGTCCCTGCATTTTTTGAACGGCTTCTTCGGCAGAAGGCCTGAGGATCAACATGGTGCAGAAGACAAAAAGTTAGTGAACAGAGCTACGAATAAACATACATGACAAACCAACACATGGAAGCAATCATTCACAGGTAAATTCTGAGTTTTTACTGAATGGTTTACCGGGTTTTGAATTGAACATAACCGTATCCCTTTGTTGCAGGTATTTTGCAATAAATAATCTCTCCTAAATGTGAGAACGCTTTCTTCAGCTCTTCCTCAGTAACATTTGGGTCTAAACTGGCAATTGAAACCTGTACACACAAAACCAATGCATGAATACACGCAGAAGAACTCCGAGACAAAAGCTCAAGCTTTTTCAGATAAACAAAAAAAACTCACCGTTGTACAGGTGACGTCACTTTCAGGTGGAAGCACCTGTGCCGGTTGAGCAGCATAGACTGGTGCAGCAATTGCAGATGGGACTTGAACTGGATAAGCAGCTACAGAACAATTCCCAATCAAGCAAATGAATTTCCAAGTCTAAACAAAACTAGACTAACAAAAAAAAAAAATCAAAATCAGTGTTTAGTTCTCATACCTTTGGCGGCATAAGGTTGCTGCAAACCAACGCTCTTCTTAGGCGTCGCTGCGCTTATCCTCATAGGCCTCGTCGAGCAATACAAACCATTCATTTCAGCCATTGCCCTGTTCCTCTCACTCTCCTCTGCAAACTTCACAAATCCATAACCTTTCGACCGTCCTGTGCTCGGATCAGTGACAACCTTGGCACCTCTAACAGAAGAATAGTGAACACGGAACGTCTCCTGAAGGAGATAGTCTGTAACGTCAGGTGCTAAATCTCCAACAAAGATTGAATGATCAGGTCCAGCATCTACTTTCTGGCCTGAACCAAAAGAAGCCCAGTTTAACCGGAAAGTTAGCTCCGTTCCAGGCATCTGTGTCCCATTGTACGTCTGAAGAGTCCTCTCCGCCGCTGCGTGAGATATAAACTCTATGAAACCGTAACCTTCTGGTACGCCTGTGATCTTGTTACGTATCACCTTGACAGAAATTAGCTGCAAAATATATGAACTATGAATTGTTAATCGTTATAATGTTGATTCAAGAGGATCATATAACTTAAGAAATTAAACACACATATATACAAAAATATAAATCAGAGCTTGGAGAGAAGAATCTATCCAACAATTCTTACTTGCAAGGAAAAAAAAAAAAAAAAAAAAAAAAAAAACTAAATCCTATTGAGGAATTGGAAAATCAGCATCATCACCTCTACTATCTACTGAAATTGGGAGCCTTTCGGGAAAGAAGAAAACCTAGAAATTTAGAGATCAGAAGGTACCAAATTGGTTACAACCCAGGGAAATTGAGAGGTGTAAATTGGAAAATCACAAAGTCGCAAGACGCAGAGAAGCTGAGGAAGAAGTGGAATAGAGACGGGGAAGTGAATTCGTTACCTCGCCGGTTTGAGAGAAGTAGGAAGAGAGGTAACTTTCGTCGACCCAATACTGCAAATCGCCAATCCAAAGGGTTCGAACTTCTTCGAGCGTCTGTGGATGGTGATAGCCTTGTTGTGGCTGCTGCTGCTGCTGCATCATCATCGCCGTCGTCTCTTTTTTCTTCACTGGCGATTTTTTATTTAGCGTGAAAACGTAAACCTAAGCAAACACACGACGGGGCTATAGCCTTTAGTGGTGGTGCCGGTAAAAATTAGCCGACCAATCTAATATTTGAGTCGTTAATGTATTTTCCGGATTAATTTTAGTAAATTTACATTATTCTGAATATAACATATTACAAAGTATTTTCACTTTGCTCACCAAGAAAAAATTATTCTCAAGCTTACCATACTGTAAAATCAATTTTATAAGTAACTTTTGGTATTTAAATTAATGTGTATCTTCTCCAAAGTTATGCTCTATGTAAACCTGGCTCTCTCCCACCTAATCAAGCATGTTGCATTCATAAGTTAATCAGTAGCTTATAGCAAGCTTTAAGATAATGGAATTGACAGTTCACCTCAGTTTTGTTAGCTGATTGTTAACTCAATTGTTGGATGATTGAACATTATTTGCTGAGGAGACACATAAATCCGAGAACAAAACTTTGTTCTTTCAAATAAGTTTTCAAATATTGACATTTAATTTGAATTTACATGACAATACAAGTGTTCCTAGATTTTGATAGTCTTTTTAAGAGGATACTATGATGTTAGTGCACAATTAAATCATGCATATTCGTGGAGTAGAGCACAACAAACATTAACCACATATGCATATGTTTGTCTCTAAGTGGATGGATGCATGTGCTTCTTTGCATTGAAAAGAGTTTTAGTACTACATGATAAAAGATTCTAATGTGGTCAAAGTCAAAGCTCCAGGTTTATACACTTTGTTTCTCTTATACACTACAAACTAAAAATATTTGCTTAATCATAGCCAATAATGTCTTCATTTTAATTATGTGAGTGGTCTCTTCATTTTTTCCTTGACCATCTTGATCTTTATTTAGATACACAAGCACAGTGAAATTCAATTATGATTATTTGTTGTACCTCTTCGTTACAATCATTATTCTAGTCTTCAAACATTAAGTACAGGGTATGTTGAAATATTGTATTCTGCGTTGCATAGTAATGGACAGTTAATAATAAACAGTGACATGTGTTTTAGTAATAAGATCGTTGGTAACATCGCTGTCTCTCCTCTCTCTCTCGCGCCTATCAACGACAACATTCAATACTCGTACTGTTGCTCAAAACTAATCAAAGATAGGTACAACTATCTGCATAACTAAAACGAGTGGTCCAACACCAAGAAACCCGCGGCTTAAGGGTGCTTCCAATTAAATACTGATCAACATCATTAGCTTTTTGTAACCTTTAGTTATCACCATTTTTATTACGCTGAGTACCCAGTACACCTTATGACGGCTCTAGTCCAGAGATTGGATCATCTGTACGTTCAGCTAAAGATAAACCAGTAGGTGAAAAGAAATGGGCTATGTCGTCTTAGTAGTCATTCCAAAAGTGACCAAGACCAAGTGTATTGTCTTCATTATTCTCCAATTCAACAAACTGGTAACTGTTAAAATATTTGTAGTAATTTATATTAATCCAGCGGTAAATATGGTGAAATAGTACACAAATATAGATCAAATATTATATGGTCTCGTGTTAGTTTTCACATGGCAAGGACACGAAGCTCATGTGAGGACATGTGTTTACTGTTCAACTCTTTCTCTCTCTCTCTCTCTCTCTCTCTCTCTCTCTCTCTCTCTCTCTACTCTCCTTCAGTCAAACTCCTTCGAGCCTCTTTCAAATCCACATCTACATTTTTGTTATAAAAAATCATAATAATGGAAAACAAAAGATGTATAGTGTCTATTCTAATAATTCAATGCATCATCTCCCGAGCAATGTGGGTGAAAGGTTTATATACAATTCGCATGTTCATATTATCTAATCTTCAACTTCCGTAGGTTCTTCTTCTTCTTACAGCTCTGTAATTTGTCTGCTTCTTCTGTTTCCCATCTCAACGTGTCCATGTGGTCTCTTACCTCATCACCTCTCTTTCACTCTCTCTCATCCTTTCTTTATATATTATCCTCATCATTACTTTCTGAATCTTCACTTCTCTCTTTCTCTCTCTCCCTCTAAAAGTCTACTTGCTCGAGCTTACACGTTGCTTTGTTTCTGACTTAATAACTAGCTCTGTTACCCAGTACGGTGATGGTCTCAGCGAAAACGGCGACAATGGCGGAGGCCAACATGGTTTTCATGACGGCGGAGGCGCCACCGTCCTTGTCAGGACCTCGCATTTCCTTCTCGGCGGATTTATCATCATCAGACAGCGACGGAGATTTCATCTGCATCAACCCGGACAAGCTCATGGCGGGAAAAGAAGAGAAAGACAAGAGCTCGCCGGTGAAAGCCGGAGACTTTGAGTTTCTGTCGAACACCCAAACGATGCTCACCGCCGACGAGTTGTTCTCCGAAGGAAAGTTGCTTCCTTTCTGGCAGGTAAAGCATTCTGAGAAGCTTCAAAACGTTACCTTGAAATTAAAAGTCGACAAAGAAGAAGAAGAAGATCATAAAGTAGTGAAAGAGGAGATTGTTCACAACAACAGCAAGGAGCAAGAGAATAGCAACAACAACAACAGAGGAAGCTGGTTTCTTGACGACGACCCTTCTCCGCGTCCACCGAAGTGCACGGTGCTGTGGAAAGAGCTTTTGCGTCTGAAGAAACAGAGGACAACGACGACGACGAATTCGTCAACGAGGGCATCTTCACTCTCACCGTCGTCTTCTTCAAGCTCGACTTCTTCTTCCTCGAGCTCGATTGGGGATGCGGTGAAGAAGGAGGAGAGAGAGAAAGAAGGGAAGAGAGGTAAGAAAGGTTTAGAGAGGACGAGATCTGTGACTATGAGGATAAGACCGATGATTCATGTTCCTGTTTGCACTCCGACTAAGTCCTCTGCTCCATTGCCTCCTCTGTTTCCTCTAAGGCTCCAGAAAAACAGAGTTGAGAGACGAACTTGATGAGGAACATCGTTTTGTCTATTTGGTGGCTTTAAATTATCTTACCCTTCGTTTGGTTGGATTTTGTGATTAGATGGATTGTGTTTTGATGAGCTTTGTGATTGAGATCTAAGGTGTGACAGTGTACATGTGAAGACTTTTCATATCCGAAAACAAATAAGAAATTCATCATTGAATACATTCAGTTTTATGCTTTTGGGATCCGAAGGTCTTTTTTCTTTTTGTTATATCTGTCTGTATCTAAGCCAAAGTTTGCTATGGTTTGAGTTTATCAGAAACGATAAAATCTTTGGTTTAGACTTTAGATGATTTGTTAGTTTAAGATCTGAAAAAGTGAAGAGACAAAAGAGTAAATGCCAAAAAAATAACGAAAGAGCAAGAAAGCAGAGTAGAGTGATGTGCACATGCAAGTTTCAGATGTTTTGTTTAGATCCTTTTCCTCATCAGCTAAAAGCCACCAAGTGACTCTGCTCAACGTTTATATGACATGGTCCACTTCTGCAACTCTGGCCTGTCATTTTTAACCCAAAATCAAACTACAATCCCTAAACGTAAGGTTCGTAACATGTAGATCATATATGAGATTACTCCAATAATTATAATGCCACGCTGTCTTCATTCATTGCACAAGAATTCAGAAACAGTAAGAAGACTGGATGGACACAGAAACATACAAACAAGTATGCACACTTGCACAGTGTCTCAGCCTTGGATCAGTATTTTTTATCTCTGTATCCTCCAATCGTTGTAAGAATGAAACAGTAATTTGTAACTCTACGCACAGGCTACCAAACAAAGCAACAAACCTCAAATCTTGTTGTGATACCGGAAAAATGAATTTAGTGTTCATGTTTAAGCAAATGTCGAAGACTAAAGAAACGTAGCAGTAGTTAGCACCAACCAAATGGCAGCATAATAATATAAGGATGAATAGACGGGACTATTCAGATTATAAATACATACGGCGGAAAAGCTAAAAGACAAAAAAAAAAGTTTGATCGAAAAAAGCATACAGTATATGCATGTAGCAATTTTAAAACATGCATTTTTGAATAAACATGCAATCAGAGAACTGTGAACGGTAAGCTAAGAACAGAATAGCAAATTCAGCATTTACCCAAAAGATGGAGGGAAGTTTCCACTTAATCCATTGTTCCAAGTCCCTTTCCATTTGGAAAAAGGATAGGAACCCTAACAACGTGTCTAATCAATCATATCATTTTTTTTTGTTTTCGTTTTGTCTTAAGTAGTATTTTCTCCTTACACCAATGTTGCTGCCATACGTCATATATTGTGATTCGTTTTGCTCTTGAATGTTTTTTCTTCCAACTACATGTCATTTACAAATGAAACATGGATACTACATTGACCGAACTATCTTTTACTTCTCCCTAAACAAATTATCTAAGATAAAGTACATGCTATTGAGAGAAGAACGCAAAAAGATATATGCAATCGAGTTCCATATATCATCATAATGAGCTATGAATGCAAAATCCTTTATCCCTTGTGCTCCTTTTTTTGTTCGTATCTTCAAAGTGAAAAAGCGTGCTCGTGCCTCCGAAGTTTTCATTTCATGTGGTCACCTTCTATAAAGAAATGGTTCCTTTTATCTTCTTAAATTAAAGAAATGCTTCTTTCTTCTCTCATGTATATTTTTATTCACACTTTCAAACTCGTCTCCTTTGTGGCAGACCACAAAAAGTCCAAAAGCCTACTACTTATTTATTTTTGTAGATAACTCTTGCTTTTTTTTTTTTGTAAGCATGTAGCACATATTAGCATTATGTGTCTAGAAAATATTTCGAAATAATCACAGTAAATGTAGTAAATTGAAAAACATAATAATTTGGGATTAAACTTCGTTTGGACAAAAAAATAAACGGGATGTATTTTGTGTCCACATTTGCTAACTTCGAATTTGAATTTTTGCCCTTTCCCTCACAGTACAGTTTACTAAAAACAATTAGCAAAACTAAATACAAGAAAAAAGGAAAGCAAAGGCGTTTTTTACGAAAGTACCCCTGATCTCATTTCTGCCTGGATTGATTTTCAAAACTCTTCTTCTCTGATATCCTCTTCTTCGCATCGTCGTTGTCTGCGTAGGTTGTGAACGATGGAGCAACAACCGGAGAGGCGAGAAGGCCGGAGCTTCCCGGAGCGTAAGGGACAGAAGAGAAAATTAGAAGAAGGAGCAGCCGCCGCTGAGGATCGAGAGATCTCTGCCTCAACCACCGACGGCGGTCATGCGCTTCTCACCGAGGTTGCTGCTCAAGTCTCCGTTCTAAACTCCGCCTTCTCCTGGCAGGAATCCGATCGCGCTGCGGCCAAGCGCGCCACTCAAGTCCTGGCCGAGCTCGCCAAAAACGGTGAAGATCAGCACCCGATCTTACTTATTTTTCTGCGGTTTCTTCATATCTATGCATGACTAGTGACCTCCGATTGTTCAGCAGAAGATTTAGTGAACGTGATTGTCGACGGAGGTGCTGTTCCAGCTCTTATGACGCATCTTCAGGCGCCGCCGTACGACGACGGGGACGTGGCTCAAAAGCCGTTCGAACACGAGGTTGAGAAGGGAAGCGCCTTTGCGCTCGGTCTTCTCGCAATTAAGGTTTTGTTCCTCATTTTCTCTCGGTCACCTACATGTACAGTTTGTTAGCTTCTTTGAAAGTAGTTGCCTTTTACGTTATGTTGCCCCAAGTCTAGTTTAATTTTGGCAACTTTTGGTGATTGAGCTTTTGTATACGGAGGGGATTATGTTTAGTTTGTCTGATCTCGTTTGTGGAATTGACTGCTTACAGCCAGAGTATCAGAAACTGATAGTAGACAAAGGTGCCTTACCTCATCTTGTGAATCTGTTGAAGAGAAACAAAAATGGTTCTAGCTCTCGAGCTGTTAATAGTGTTATCAGAAGAGCAGCCGATGCCATCACCAATCTTGCTCACGAGAACAGCAGCATCAAGACCCGTGTGAGGTCAGCATATTTAAGTGATTTCCTCCTTGTCGAGATTTGTTTTCAGTACAACTATCCTCGTGACTTCCACTTTTTGACTAGCAGGCTTGAAGGCGGTATTCCACCTCTCGTGGAGTTGCTTGAATTTTCTGATTCAAAGGTTCAGCGAGCAGCAGCAGGGGCATTGAGAACCCTTGCATTTAAAAATGATGATAACAAGAACCAGGTTAATATTGCCATCTTACAGCTTCTACTTAGATGTGGACGGAGTATGATTGAATTATATTTTTGCAGATAGTTGAGTGTAATGCTCTTCCCACACTCATTCTGATGCTAGGATCAGAAGATGCTGCTATACATTATGAAGCGGTTAGTAGTCTTTTGCTGGGTCTGGCAGTTTTCATAATCAAATTGTGGTATTGACATTGAAATAACCAGTTGGTTCATGCTTTTAGGTTGGAGTTATAGGGAATCTTGTACATTCATCTCCAAACATTAAAAAAGAGGTTCTTACTGCTGGGGCGTTGCAACCTGTCATTGGTCTTCTCAGGTATGTGGAAACTTGCCATTTTAGATTACATGGTTAAGCAAAAAGTTATTATGGCTTTTAATAGAGATGAAATTTCTGTAAATCCTACTAGCTTCTCTATTGTTGATGTTTTTCTTTTGTAAGATCCTTTGCTGATAACCCCATTCATTCTTGTGTTTGCTTGACTTTGTCAATTTTAGCTCCTGTTGCCCTGAGAGCCAAAGAGAGGCGGCTTTATTACTTGGGCAGTTTGCCTCAACTGACTCTGATTGTAAGGTACTATTTCATCACAGGATTTCTGTCCTCGGTCCTTTGCCATTCCCCAAAGCCTAACTCTTTCTGTTTGGTTATAGTAGTTGATAACTTGTTTCTTGCCGTGTTTTTGGTAGAATATATGTTCTTTATCATTTAGGCGTCTTTTTCATTCTTCACCTCATACTAAAAAATATATCATTGCAGGTGCATATTGTGCAAAGGGGGGCTGTCCGTCCTTTGATTGAGATGCTTCAGTCACCGGACGTTCAATTGAAAGAAATGTCAGCCTTTGCACTGGGTAGATTGGCGCAGGTTCTTGTTTGAAACATTTGTTAGTTTCAGTTATAAAAGTTGAGGCATTCCCATTTGAGCGTTGTAAAACTGCATCTTCGCTCTTCAGACTTATAACCATTGAGTTATAGTATGTCTTTTAATTTCAAGCATATCTCACAGGATGCCCACAATCAAGCTGGTATTGCCCATAGTGGTGGTTTAGCACCTTTGTTGAAGCTTCTCGATTCAAGAAATGGATCCTTGCAGCACAATGCTGCATTTGCTCTTTATGGCCTTGCCGATAATGAGGTGTGTTGTATGCTACCTTATGTATATGTTCTAATCTGGATGGAAAATTTGATGGTAAGCCTTATTGATCCATTTTTCTTTCCCTAGGATAATGTGTCGGATTTTATCAGGGTGGGAGGTATCCAGAAGCTACAAGATGGAGAGTTTATTGTTCAAGTATGTATGGCGTTGCTACCCTTCCTCTACTTTCTGATTCTTCTTTCCAGAATCGTCATACCCCTTTTATTGGCTAGATACTGAAAATTCGTACCAGCTTTAATTGTATTTGTTTTACTCTCCTTGTGTGTTTATCACATGTTCTATTGGTTTAGGCAACTAAAGATTGTGTCTCCAAAACATTGAAGAGGTTAGAGGAGAAGATTCATGGAAGAGTAAGTGAAATTATGTTTGGACACAATTTGTGGTGAAACTGCTTTATCCTGGCCGAGTTTCTATAACTCTGTCGAAGTTTAGCATATCTCTATTCAACTTTTGAGATTTCTGTGCTTTGATTTTCCTTTGTAGGTTTTGAGACATCTGTTGTACCTAATGCGCATCTCAGAGAAGTCTGTCCAAAGACGAGTTGCTCTTGCTCTTGCTCATCTCGGTTCACCAGAGGATCAGAGAACCATATTCATAGATGACAATGGTATGTGACAGCTTTTTGAACATTTTATATTAAGATTTCTAACACGTTAACCATTCAGTGAAGATGTTTCTGGTGAAAAGTTTCTTATATCAAGTTGTCTTTTGATAGGGTTGGAGTTGCTACTCGGTCTTCTTGGCTCTACAAACACTAAGCAGCAACTTGATGGTGCTTCAGCATTGTACAGATTAGCTAATAAATCTATGGCACTTTCTCCAGTTGATGCTGCTCCTCCTTCTCCAACACAAAGGGTGAGTTTCCTTCTTGCTTCAGTTCTCCATTAGAAAAGTGGTTGAAATCTCAATGCGATACTCTGCTTCTCTTTTTGTGACAGGTTTATCTCGGAGAGCAATATGTAAATAATGCTACGCTGTCTGATGTAACGTTTCTAGTCGAAGGTACTCATATCCGGGACCCCCATTAGTCTTGTTAGTTCCAAACTCAATATGTAAAAAAGGAAAATCATACTGCAGGAAGGACTTTCTATGCACACAGAATTTGTCTGCTGGCATCTTCAGATGCATTTCGTGCAATGTTTGATGGTGGTTACAGAGTAAGTGAACTATCATTTTTGTTCAACATGTTCTTGTGGAGGAAATGAAAAATATCATCTACTAGCTGTGAAGACTGTGACCTATGGGTTCATGCTGCTCTGCTTCTCTGTCAAACGATTACATGGATAATTATGTATCTTGTAAGCAAATTAGAGCTAAAATGTCTCTAATTTAGTTTGTGCTTTGTTAATACAACAGGAAAAAGACGCTAGAGATATTGAGATTCCGAATATCAAATGGGAGGTGTTTGAGCTAATGATGAGGTACGACAAGCTTCTACGGGGTTATACTATGTGAGAAATCTTCATATACATGTAATTTACTTACACTTGAATTATGACTTTCAGGTTTATATACACTGGATCTGTCGACATAACAATAGAGATATCACAAGATCTTCTAAGAGCAGCGGATCAGTATCTCTTGGAGGGCCTGAAGCGACTCTGTGAATACACAATTGCTCAGGTTAGCAAGAATTCTCGCAGTGTAAAGTGATGTGGTTTGCATAACAATGATGATTAAAATCTGACACGAATGCTTTTGAATGGAAAGGATATTACGTTGGAGAACATAGGGAGCATGTACGATCTCTCAGAAGCATTCCATGCAATGTCGCTGAGGCAAGCTTGTATCTTGTTCATCCTGGAGCATTTCGATAAACTGAGTTCAATGTCCTGGTAATATAAATCAGCCCTCTCTCACTCTCTCTAGCGATCTTTCTCTCATCCCCATATATATATATATCTGAGCATAGTGAATGAATGGAAAAATGCAGGCAGAACGAGCTGGTGCAGCGAACAATACCAGAGATAAGAGAGTACTTTTGTAGAGCTCTAACAAAGTCTACTACAAACCTGCAAAGCTTAAGGTTGTAGAATGTGGAAGAAGAAGACTGCACCTAACTAGAGAGGTAAGTAGACAGGGAATATATAGAGGGAGAGAGAGCCGCCATTAGAGGGTCTTTATCGTCCTGTCCTATCCTGAGTTGTTTTTAGTTACTTGTTGTGCGTTTTGTTCATTTTGGTCATTGTATTGTATTGTATTGATCTCTTCTGATCACAATCGGTCTTTCAAAGATGTCGCCACGTTGTATCCAAAACACCATCATGGTGAACTTCCACTATTCAATTCAAAATCATTGCTCCATTGACTTGTGGCTTGTGATGATTATATATATGTACATTGGTAGTGTGACTAATGAGTTCATGTCTGAATGATTAATGACGTAATCCAACAGGTTCTTTTGATTAAAAAGAAAAGCCAAATGAACATTTGGGATAATATTCAAATTAACAGACAAAAGTAAAAAAAAAGTATCAAAATACTGTCATAGAACACCAAAATTACATCGTCGATTACAATTTACAACGAGTAAATGTTCTGGTCATGATGCCACGATGAATTATTATTATTTTCCATTTTTTCTCGAATACTTTATTTCCGTAAGAGTCCACAGACTTTGGTTCAACGTGGGAGGGAGATTTAATTTAAGGAGCTCCGGTGATATTTTTTTCTTTCTCGGATACCTGAAAGCTAGAAACCCTAACACTTCATTTCGCAGCCAGAGAGTCTCAAGAGCTCCGAGATTCACCCAACCCTCATCGCTTAGGTACTCTTTTTTCTTCTGTGTTTACTCTCACTGCAAACGGATACTTCGTCGGATCCGATGTTCCGATGATACTCGGTGCTTAGCACCAATGTTCCTTCATCGGAATTCGCGATTTGATGCCTGTTCTATAATCTCTGTCCCCAAATCTCTGTTATAGATTTATGCACAGCATTTGTGGTTTATTTTGTTAGATTCAGTGTCATGATTTCTCTTTTCCGATTCATCAATAAACTCTTTCTGCTCTCGAAAGCTATTACTCTGGGCTTAGTGTTATTGTATTTAGTGCCTCCTCTGATTATGTCTAGCTCTGTGTTTATATTGCAGTGATAAAAATCTCTAGGTTTGCGATAATGGCCGATACACTTGATTCCCGACCTCATGCGTTTTCGATCAAACTGTGGCCGCCGAGTTTACCTACAAGGCAAGCTCTCATTGAGCGGATTACGAACAACCTCTCTTCCAAGACCATTTTCACTGAGAAGTACGGTAGCGTAACCAGAGAGCAGGCTATGGAGAACGCCAAGAGGATCGAGGACATTGCTTTCTCCACCGCGAACCAACAGTTTGAGAGGGAGCCTGACGGTGACGGCGGCTCGGCTGTACAGCTTTACGCCAAAGAATGCAGTAAGCTCATCTTGGAAGTTCTCAAGAAAGGACCTGTTGCTAAGGTTGCCTCAAGAGAATCGATTCCTGAAGAATCTCGTGAAACTGTTTTCGATATCTCCAAAGGGAAACGGGCTTTCATTGAGGCCGAGGAGGCTGAGGAGCTTCTCAAACCGTTGCAGGAACCTGGCAATGGTTACACTAAGATATGCTTTAGCAATAGGAGTTTCGGGTTAGGAGCTGCTCGTGTCGCTGAGCCAATCTTGGCGTCTCTGAAAGATCAGCTTAAGGAGGTTGACTTGTCTGACTTTGTCGCTGGACGTCCTGAGGTTGAAGCTCTTGACGTTATGAACATATTCTCTAATGCACTGCAAGGAAGTGTTCTCTCGTCTCTCAATTTGTCAGACAATGCGTTGGGTGAGAAAGGTGTTAGAGCGTTTGGGGCACTCTTGAAATCTCAGAGCTCTCTGGAAGAGCTTTATCTGATGAATGATGGTATCTCTAAAGAAGCTGCAAGAGCTGTCTCCGAATTGATTCCTTCTACAGAGCATTTGAAGGTCCTTCACTTTCACAACAACATGACGGGAGATGAAGGAGCGGTTGCGATTGCAGAGGTTGTCAAACGTTCGCCGCTGCTGGAGAATTTCCGGTGTTCTTCCACAAGAGTCGGCTCGGAAGGAGGAGTCGCTTTGTCAGAGGCGCTTGAGCATTGTTCTCGTATGGAGAAACTTGATTTGCGTGATAACATGTTTGGCACAGAAGCTGGCGTTTCTCTGAGCAAGACTCTCTCAAGCTTCAAACACTTGACTGAGATTTACTTGAGTTATCTGAATCTGGAGGATGATGGTGCGGTGGCGATAGTAAACGCTCTCAAGGAGTCTGCTTCGCCGATTGAAGTTCTGGAGATGGCAGGAAATGACATAACAGTGGAAGCAGCTTCAGCTATCGCAGCGTGTGTAGCAGCGAAACAGGAGCTGAGCAAGTTGAATCTGTCTGAGAATGAGCTGAAAGATGAGGGATGTCTCCAGATTGCAAAGAGTTTGGAAGAGGATCATCCGAAACTGCAATACATTGATATGAGCAACAACTACTTGAGAAGAGCCGGAGCAAGAGCCCTAGCTAATGTTGCTGTTGAGAAAGAAGGATTCAAGCTGTTGAACATCGACGGGAACATCATATCGGAAGAAGGCATTGAAGAAGTTCAAGAGATGTTCAAGAAATTCCCTGAGTTACTTGGAGCTTTGGACGAGAATGATCCTGATGGAGAAGAAGATGATGATGATGAGGAAGACGAAGAAGATGAAGAAGATGAAGAGAACGATGGCAAGGGGAGTAATGAGCTGGAATCAAAGCTGAAGAAGCTTGAGGTTAATGAGGATGATGATTAAGTCTGTAATTTTCAATGTTTTATCGGTGGTTTTTGTACCAGGATTATATCGGATGCTGCTACAAAGACCAAAAATATTGAGACTTTGGTGTTAGTTTTGTTTTGCCGATCTCTTCTCTGAGATTTATCTATGAAGGCTATTGGTTTTTTGAAATCTTTTGAAACAAAATTGATTGTGATTCGTTCCAATGCAAAGACACTAACACAGCTCTCACTGAAGATATCACTGAAGCAAGAAGACGATATATATAACCCAAAATGCAATTTGAGTAAACAAATTCTGTTGATAAATCTGATCTGAATGTATAACTGAGAAAGCAAAACAAAGAAGATTCATGGATTTTACATCAAAATCCACCAGCAGAAGAACATTAAACCGAAATGAGTTCTAGAAATCAAAACCACAAATTTCGATTTCCAACAAAGAAAAGAGAAACAGCAATCGATCGCCTAGTTTATTCAGATTCTCCTACCTCTTCTAGCACTCGCAGTTTTCATTGCGCTTAGAGCCGCATTCAAAGGAATCGGCGGTGGCTTCCGGTTCTCCTTGGTCATGCTCCTCAGAGAATACCTCGGCGTTGCCTCAACCATGGAGACAGTCTTCTTCTTCACCGTTCCTCTTCTCTTGGTGGTCATCATGGGTTCATGGTAGACTCCGAGATTGTAAGGAGTTCCTTTCACCACTCCTCCCTCTGCACCAGCATCTTCTCCTCCTTTCTTCCTCCTCAATCGCTCGTTCCTCCTCGCCGAGTACTCCTCGTAGAACCTCCCTCTCTCGAATACCGGAACAGAGTTTGTTGCCAGATTCTCCAGATTCGTACCCACAGCTCTCGTTTTGATCTCCTCTTTCTCTTCCTCGGCGAACTCTTTCTCCACCATCTTCGCCAACGCGTGTATCTCGCTTGAGATTGAGGTGTAATCCACCGGGAGTTTCGGTTCCAGATCTGTATCGCTCAATCGCCGTCCCGGCTTCTGAAAATTCGTCAGACCTAATTTCCGGGGAATCATCAAATTCTTAGAACCAAAGAGAGAAAAACTGAGATTAGATGAAGGAGAAGAGTAATGGTGTATACCTGGTGGTGTGAGCAGGGATGAAGAGTTGGAGAGGACGACTTGGCGAGATCGGAGACGGATGGGCGATTTCGGAAGCGGTGGTTTCAGGTAAGAAGTTCTCATCCTCGACATTTTCACAGAGAGATTTCAAATTATTTTGTTGCTCAAGAGAGAATAGGTTGAGAGATTGTTTTGATTTCTTATTGTTGTGAGTAGGTGTGGGGCGGAGGAGGAGCGGCCCCTAACGGTTCTATTTTTTGATCGGACGGCCAAGATTTCTCCATTTTCAAATGGAAGGGTTTTAATTGTTCCAAATGTAAGGTCAAAATCGAGGAAACAAATGTTCAAAACCGTTCTTAACATGATTGTTTTTTATTAAATATTTTACCTTGTTATGAGGATTTGCCTTAATTGATTTATTTTTGGTTTGAATAATCCTCATAACAGACAATTCTTTTAACAATGTCAATAGCTGTGGCATTTTGCTCCACGAGGAAGACGTTTGCAAAAACGGCCTTTCTTATTATTACATCCTTTAGTTAAGACACCAACTGTTGCAACTCTTTTTGTCTTGGTGCGTTTTGCACGCTCCAAATTTCGGATGTGTGTTAGTGTGTTAAGCACAATGAGCTGTCGGATCCTTCAACATCTATAAAATCCTAACAAATATTTTCCACCTTTTTTAAATAAGACCCATGTACGTAGAGATATACTGTTCATATACATTCTGCTTTGCTGCTATATATAACATACCCAAAAGATTAGTTGTAAGATCAAAATTTATGGTGAGAAACTAACCAACAAAGAACAGAAGAACAATATATATATCTCTCTCGTGCATAAGCTAATTAAAGAGTAGTTATCATTTTCCAAACACTAATCGAATTAGCAAAACACGAGATAATAGAACTTGATTTATGTCTTACAATGGTGAAATGTAAAAAAAAAGAGAGCCTAGTGTAAGGTAAGGAATTAATAGTCTTACAATGGTGAAAGTACAATGGCAATAAGAAGACCCAAAACAAAAACAAAAGCTTTGTAATAAGAACACGATGAGGAGAAGACCATCTCCAATGTCTAATACTTGTAGAGACTTCTTCTCAGTTTCATCTACTTCCGTTTGAGCTTCTTCTAGCTTTAGAGTCAGATGAAGAAGCCACAGCAGAGTATCTTGACCGTTTCTTCTTCTTAAGAGTATTCCAACCAAATGTTGGCTTCTTCTCATTTTCTTCTTCGCTCTGTTCCCCACTCTCCTCCATCTCTTCTTCATCTTCTTCCTTCTCTTCACTTCTACTCGACCCTACCGTTAACCCATTATTACTCATTGGTGTCTTTGTGTTGTTCGTGTTCCTTATTCTCCTTCCTTTCTGAGAGACTTTTGGAGCATCTTCTTCTTCACCTTCACTCTCCATCGCTTCCATCCACTGCGATTCGCTTAACGAGTCGCTGTACACTGCTTCTTTGCGTTTCCGCTTACCCGTGACGCTACCGAAAAGGGATTTCGAAGTCTTAGACTCGTCGTCTTGAGTCTGTGAAGTGTAAGCCCACTCAGGAACTTCCTTCTCTTCCATGAGACGAGTCCTGTACTTCTCCTTTTGACGTCTTTCCTCGTCCATTTGTTCAAACATCCAAAACTCATCCTCCGTTCGAGCTGCGAGCCGGTTGATCTCTCTCTCACTCGGCACATCTGTCCCCAGTGAGCTCGTTCCTTTGCTCATGATCTCCTCCAGCATCTCTCTTCGGTCTTGAGCTGTTGATGATCCAAAGAAATCATTAGCATTCAGCAAAAAATCATGTTTTAGTTGAAAATAATTTATGTTCGGTGTTTTGACGAGTTTTTACCAGTAGAAGTTGTGTTGAATAGTCCTGCTTGTATGACTTTGGCGTCAATGCCCATCTTTTGCTTTGCACGCTCCAATATAACTTCTTCAACGGAGCCAATGCTAACCAAAACAAACACTCTCACTTCCTTCTTCTGCCCTATCCGATGCGCACGATCCTCCGCCTGCTGGTCCATTTGTGGATTCCAGTCACTGTCAAATATAATCACAGTGTCTGCAGTTTGCAAGTTCAAACCAAGACCACCGGCACGTGTGCTCAGGAGAAACATGAAGTAAGGAGAGTCCGGTTCGTTGAATTGCTTCAGTAAAGATCCTCTCTGGTCCGTCTTTGTGGTACCGTCGAGTCTGAGGTACTTATACTCATTGAGTGTCAAGTAAATCTCGAGAAGATCGATGAGACGAGTCATCTGAGAGAAGAGAAGAATCCTGTGTCCGGCTTTTCTCAGTTTTGGAAGGAGGCGATCAAGGAGCTCGAACTTCCCTGAAGCTCTCACAATCTCCGGCTGCTTCCACATGTCATAGTCTCTTCCAACAAATAGGTACGGATGGTTACAGCACTTTCTTAATTGCATTGTCAGATTCTGTAGACTCTTTGATTTCCCATTCGCTGCACACAAGGACTCCATCAGAAATTTAACTTCCTGATGAAAATTTCTGGAGAGAGTAGAGTTTAAAGTTACAAACTAACCCGTTTGAAGACCGACCCTGCCAACGTCTGTGACTTGTTTGTAATACAATTTTTGCCAAGCCGACATATCACACTTGAGTATGACCTGTGTCTTTCCAGGAAGAAATTTCTCAACTTCACTTTTCTTTCTTCTCAGTAGAAACGGCCTTATGACCTGAAATGCGACAGAGAATGTTTTTAAGTTTGAGTTCTTTGCGTAACGAATTTGCCTAAATATTTCTGAGGAAAGATAGATGCATATTAAAACTCACATGATGCAGACGATTAATCATCAACAACTCCTCTTCATCTGTAAGATTGGCACTACCACGTTCTGCGAAAGGAGGATTAAACCATTCTTCGAAATTCTGAACTGAGTTAAAGATGTGAGGAAGGAGAAAGTTGAGCAGCGACCATAGTTCCTGCAGACTGTTCTGTATGGGAGTCCCAGTTAATAGAAGTCTGCGCTTAATACGGTAGCTGCATCCAGGGAAAATAGTGTTAGCAGATGTTTTCAAATTTCCTTTGTAATAGATTAATAACTAATGAACGTAAACCACTAATGCGTAAGAAGGCTTGTCTAAAAAATTTCCATCAAGAAACATACCCTCCTGTCCTTAGAGTCTTTGCAAGAGCACATTCATGGTTCTTCAGCCGATGTCCTTCATCAACAATCATGTAGTGCCAGTCCACTTTCTTCAAAAACGATTTATCTTTCATGATATGATCGTAGTGGGTTATCAATACGTTGAATTTTCCTTCTTGTGCAATTCTTGCTTTTATTTCATTTCTTTTATCTTTCGGTCCATCGTAAAGAAAAGCGGCAATGCTGTCAAATGGAACAAAAACGCAGCAATTTTATCTTCACACACAACATTCATACTGATGCAATCAATCTGGGGGAAAATAAGATTGTTAATAACAATACCTCGGAGCCCATGTTGCAAACTCATTTTCCCAATTTGGTAACACAGCTTTTGGAGCAACAATCAGATGAGGCCCATGCACATCTTTATTCTCAAGAAGATACGCGATCAATGCGATTGTTTGGATAGTCTTTCCCAAACCCATCTCATCAGCCAAAATTCCATTATAGTTGTTGTTGAATAGAGAGACCATCCATTGAAGCCCTTCCAATTGGTAGGATCTTAGTTCTCCACCTTGTAAAAGTGATGGCTGCTTCGTCACCTGTTTACAGAAAACAATGATAGCTGAAGTTAAACACACTTCATCATACTCCAAATCAAGTACTAAAAAGAATCAAAATTACCTTATCTTGTATTGAATGGATAGCCAAGTTATACTGCCTCTCGCCTTGTAGTAAGTCATTAGAATCGTCATTATCATTGGGCGTTTCATTCCATTGAGCATCAACTTCAGATAAGTCAGATTCTGAGCCTTTCACAAGGTTGGCATCTTTCTGACGCTGGATTGCAGCACCTAAACTAATAAAGATTTTGTTTGTCTCCTTTAGAAACAGGGTTAGTTTTTCATTCTTGCTCTCCTTTGCTAGTTTCATGTATGCTTCTTGATCATCAGATTTAAGGGCCATAATCCTTATTTTTTCAGCTCGGGTAGCGCGATGCTTTTGTCTTCCATGCCAGGCCTGTTAGATAGATATAGATAAGTAACAACAGTATTAAAGGGATAACTTGACTATGTCCTGTGTTCAAGTGTGCGTTTAAAATGTTGGCAAGAAAAATGAGCACATTATGCCAGGGATATCATAATATACCTGGACACCATCATTTCTTTGCTTACGGCGTTTCTGAGACCCCTGAATTTGCAACTGGAATTCACGAACAGCATCGAGTACTTCTGCAAAGAATTTCCTCTGTGTCGTTTCAATCAGATTCTTCTCCTCTTGTTCTAATCTTGATAACCTCTGAACAAACGACTTTGCACGCATCAGCAAGGAGTTTAAAGAAATCATAATCAAGCACCAGCATAAACCGCAACTAGAAATTGTGTGCTATAGTTACACACTTCTACTAAATTTCGTCAAACAAAATCACATTTCCAAACAGAATAAGAACTGAGTAAGATATATTCACAACTCTTAGTTTTATCCTTCTAACAGGTACTTATGCTATCATCTTTTACACACCATTAATTTCCATTCAAAGAAGTACTTCATCATTAGAGGTTAAAGGGAGCAAGAAAATTTGCAATGGATAAGATAAACCAAACGACCTCGGCATCACGCTTGTTTCTGAACTGATCATCAGCTTCCATAGCAAAAGGGTCTCCAACCCCATAAAGCTGGCGAGGCAACCGCATCATGTGCCAGTCATATAGTTGGTTTTCAGGACGTGTACACTTCAAACGCAGCAAGTATTCCGAGCTCACCTCATCCCGAACCTTGCATTGCAGCTCTCGTAGCTGCCAAACACCAAGACACAGTTCTCAACAGTGTCAAGGAAACCATAAATTTAAACGGTGCCACACAATACGAAAGAGATCACTCTAGAGTCCAAACATACCTTAAGCCCATAAAGCTCGAGTAAACATTTTTCCTGCAAGCGTTCACCTCTAGTGGAAGGCAATCCTGATTTATACACAAGAGTAAGCACACATGATAATTGAGATAGTTTGCGGCAAAATTAGAAAAGCTAAAAGAAAGCAGCAATCACCTTCAAGCTGAGATAATCGGTGTTGGATATGATTCTCATCCCGAATTTCTTTCAATTTGGTCAGTCGAGAGGCTGATTCACAGTTTGGTCGCCGCTTCAATAGTGCCTCTTCGAACTCACTCATCAAATCACCTCCATACGGAGTCGAACGAATTTCCTGCAAACGCATCAATTGGAAAATTAAAACTCTCTAAACCAAAGAACCAGCAAATTCGTTCCACAACCCCAATAGCTAATCACAAAAATACACGGATCCAAAGAGGGATCGAGAAGAAAGCTCCGAGGAATTGCTTACAGGAGGAGGAGGCGGAGGAGGAGAGGCATCGGAGAGGGAGCCATGGTAGATGGAGGAAACGGAATCGTAGAGGTGAGGAGGCAAGAGGAGGTCGCGAGAAACGTAGTTGAGAGCAGAGATGAGAGATCTGGTCTTCTCGACGGGATCGTCGTCCCGAGGAAGGCTATCGCTCTGCTTTTCTAGCTGCTTCACCATGGCGGGAATTTTCGCCTGTTAGATTTCAACTGTCAAACAGATTTTTTTTTAATTTTATTTTGCTGGTGTTTGTTGTTGTTGCCGTTCTGTTTTAGTGAGAGCCCCCAAAAGATGGACGAGACGGGATGAAAAATTGAATTAGGGCTCTCGAACGCACGCGCACCGGTTTATTACGACGCGACGTGGATTGATAAACCAGCGGCTATTTATGTCTACTTTTTATTTCCTTTCTTGCGGTTTTACAGAGTTACCCTTGTTTATTTTGGGCCGGGCATTGAGGCTTATTTAAATATACTTATTATTAGTTCATGTGCCCACTCAACAAAAATTATTGATACTGTATAAAATCATATTCGGCTTTGGTTATACGTTCGATAAAGCATCTCTATCCAACAATTTCATTTTCACTGTAAAGATGAGTACATTTCTTGTCACACCATTACAGGAAGAATTACATAGCCAAAATTGGGAAAGTATGATCGTATGAAGAGAACATAAATTTGATCCAAATTCTAATACATCAGCTAGAAGTTCTCTCGACATAAGTTATATTACATCACTCTTCTTCAAAAAACCTCAAATCTATGAGAAGAACAGCTTCTTCAGCGACTCTTTTATAAAGCTTCAATCAAGTCTTTTCACTGCCCTGTCAATGGGTTCTTGGAAGTACTGAAGTGATATAAACATCGCTTCCTGCATATTCGTCCCACAACTTTTTTCAGCTCAATCATCAAGGACCATACAAAAGACCACACGCAGCCATTTCGTTTAGAAAAGAAAAAACACCAAAACTCATTAAAACAAAATCCGCAAAATACCTCTGTTCGAATGGTTCGGCTCCCTTGATGTGGACAAGTATTCAAGTATATATCAAACGCTTCTCGAACGTTTTTGCCCTATAAAAAGTGAAGTTTTGACTTATATGGTTAGGGATAAGAGGTTTCTAATAGAACTTTCTTGGTCATATGAGATTTATAAGAAACACACTTACCTTATACTGATTATCTTCTTCAACACTTTCTTCAAGCCCAGCAAGTCCACCAAATGCAATCAATAGGTGCCTATGGTTTCATGCCACAACCATATTAAGTCAGTCCCCCAAAAATCAAACTGCTAATGATGTGTTTAGACATAAACTTCTACCATCTTAGGGGCAAAGAGAATCACCTAAATGTTGGTATTTTCAGCTCTGATGAACTGATCACCAGGCCGTGCTCCGAGGTACCAATCAAATAATCGTAACCACCCTGCTATTTGGTATTAGGAAACAAGGTCATGCAGGATCATATCATATCATATGATCTAATTCATAGAAGGATGAGGAGCAGGGTCTCGTTATTGTTACCTCGAAAGGGCATTCTTTGAATACTGAACTCAAGTGTGATGCATATCGTACTTTGTATCCCCAATACATTCCCGCTTCTTCCCTTGGCTTAGAGGACGGAACAATCTGGCGTACCAAATCTAGATGAACAGAATTCAAAATATATAAATGCAACCATGATTTGAGAAACAAGGTAAATAATCTTAACTTAAGTTTGAAGACAAATGAGTATGACTTCTTGATAATAATAAATATAGAGACTATCAGTACCTAAATCGCGGTTGGTTCCCATGGCTACCGTGACTCTAACTCCTGGACTAAGCACTTGATCAACAACAACACTCTGCATCAAGAACAAAGGGTCATAAAATGATCCGTTTGCAATTTTCCAATTTTGAGAGAACTAACAGTTACCTTGCTTAAGCCCACATCAACCATTGTACCCTCAGATATTGGAGCCTTTTCATTCAGAGTCACACCTATAAGGTTACCATTTCCAAAACAAATGTGAAACAAAACTGAAACCATTTTCATATGGTAGCTCTTTTTTTTTTTTTTTTGACGTCATTTCATATGGTAGCTCTAAAGATGTAATTTGCAATAGCTAAGTCACGGGATTAAAGCAATCTTATCAGATGCCTGTGAAACTTTAATAGTACCTTCACGGTATTGTTCCCACTCGTGCTTACGCAGATGGTGAGGAGCATCAACAGGTGGCAACATACCCTTTTATGAAACCACACAAAGCAAAAAATATTCTTGTCAAGAGAGACACTAGAAAAGATAGATTTGAATACAAAAGTGAGAAAAACTGAAGGAAATTAAGAGATACGAAAAGTCAGTAGTACACACCACATATCTAAGATCGTTTTGCTTGGGGAAGAGAGATTTCCTCAAATATTGTGGTGTCTCTAGATACTTCAAGATACGAACCAGAAACGAGGCACCACTTTCACTGCTATCAGCGTCGATTTCTGAGCTGCTCTTATTGTCGAACACTACAATCTGATTAAAGCAAAAACAAAATGCTGTTGAATTCAGCACATTTTGCAGCCCGAGTAAGTTTCGCTAGCTCTGCGGATGCGAAGAAGAGGAATTACATACCTCGTCGATTCGGAAAATTGTGGCGGCACGAGAAATTTGGCCGGCGAGCTGAGAAATGTTAGAGAGATAGGAGTTTAATTTGCTAATAGAAATGGAAGAGAGGACTTTAAATTTTCCGGGGAGCCATAACAGAGCAACGAATTGAGAGAGAGAGAGAGAGAGAGAGCTTACGCGTGAGGCGAGCTCGAGTGATTGAGTGTTGTGGATGATGGAACCAGCTATTGCTATACTAACAGTGGGTCTCTCGTCGTTTTTCTTTTCTTCTACATTTTGCTTTACTTCCTCTTGGGTTTTAATTTGCTCCGGCTCAAGCTCAACCTCCTCATCTTGGCTTTTGCTCTTCTTTTTCTTCTTCTTCTCCTTCTTCACGTCTCCGTCGAGGCTCATCTTTTGCTCCGGTTCCATCTCCGGATCGCCATGGCTTCTCTTCTTCTTCTGCTTCTTCTTTTTAGAGTCTCCGTCTACTCTTGTCTTCAGGTCTAGCTCCGATTCCAGCTCAGCCTCGTCTGGAGTTCTCTTGCTCTTCTTCCCCATTCCTGCCGCCGGCGACTGCAACCACGGCGAATTTCGCAGGGTTTATGTGATTTTGGGTTGTTACTGAATTCATGGGCCTCTATTACCTTAATTTATTGGGCCTATTTTACAGCCTATCAATGGTGACGTGGTTTTCCAAGTAAGAGAAATTGCTTGTATCAGATTTACGTTTTCAATTCAATTCTGACGACAGATAATATCATAATACTCACGTTCTGCATTTAACTCTTACTTTTTGTCAACGTTTATGATTTAACCATTTCTTGACGGAAACAACAAACATAATTAGGATCGGATGGTTGTCACTTGACAGTTATCTGGAAATTGATAGAGAATTTTGTATTTCTTATTTTATTGATGCTCAAAAGGTATTGGTTCAACTGTAAACCATGAGCTACGAAACAAAGAACCATAAATAGTTTCTTGCCAGATGGCACTGTCCTATTGGACGACAATACATTTCCCAAGGAGTCACACTGTCACAGGACTCTATACCCCCACCCTCAAACGGCGGCGCGTGCTTCAACCTTTCCTCTCAGCGGCGCTTTCCGCTCGGCTCTTGAGCCATGTCAGCATGTCACCGTAAACCAGATCGACATCCTCCTCCTTTTCCCCGATCATTTGATGCCACAGCTCCGGGTAGATCTTGATCGTCTTATCCTTGCTGCTTGCTCGGCGGTGAAGCTCCTGGACACACTCTACGTCGCAGATGACGTCCCCGCTTCCGTGCACGATCAGAAGCGGAATCTCCACCTCCTCGAACCTCCCCTGCAGCTCGTTGCAGATACGGATCAGCTCGTACGCCGTGGCGGCGCGCGGTCTCGCCACCGTCCTCCTAGGGCTAGCCATCGCGAGCTTCCTCTTCCATGGCTCCTTGAATGAAACCTCGGGGATAGATCCGCGAGTGGGGATGACGCGCCAGGTAGGGATAGCTTTGGCGACGACGAAGAGCAAGTGCTCCAACGGCCACTGCGGCTTGAATTTGGCGCTGATTCCACACATGGCGCCGTTGAGGATGAGCCCATCCCATACGCCCTTCTGGCGGAGCGAGATGTAGAGCGCGATTGCGCCGCCGAGGGACTCGGAGTAGAGAAAACACGGCAGATCCGGCGTCTCCTGACGCTTACGGAAGTCATCGAAGAAGGAGATGCAGTCATCGACGACGGGATTGATGTCAGGGATATGAGCGATGAGTCCGTCGGAGAATCCATGGCCCTGGTGGTCAATTGCGCAGGTGATGAAACCGGATTTGGCAAAGAGGATCGAGGTGAGCTGGAGGAACCAGCTGGTTTCGCCGGTGAAGCCATGGACCATGGCGATGATACCGATCGGACGAGTTGGAGGGAGTGGAGACCACCACTGGGTGAAGAGCTTGAGGCCACGGGGGTTGGTGATGAAGGCGGAGGCGTGGCTGACGGAATGCTTCGCGTAGAATTCTTCGGCGGAGAGAGAGCCAAAGGGACTGCGCTCGTCGGCGTCGGCGATTGGATGCAGAGGCATTTTGGTTGTTTTGTGTCAAAATCGTTTGAGGTTTGGGGAAGAAAAGAGTGTGTGGGGTTTGGTTTACCGTTGAGGATTAAATGAGGTTTTTGATAAATGAGGGTAGGATCTGGTGGTGTAGGGGCACATGCTTTTATCGTGGACGCGAACTACTCCTGATTTTGGGCCAGCTTTGAGCTTTGTTATCCAATTTCTAATCTTTCTATGTTTCTTTTGTTTGACAGCAAAAATCTTTCTGTGTTTTATTTGTTTTTACTTCTTTTTTTTGAATAACATTGATTCATTGAACATGTTCAATGGTTAAGCCAATATTATTGGGTCAACTTTCCGATTTAGGTAGTAGGAAATGATAGGAATAAATCCCAAAATATCTGAAATTGAATGATTTACTACTATTTGTTTCATTCCAGCTATATATATATATATATATATATCAGACCGTCATAGCAAACATTTTAGTTCCGAATAGGCAGATTTGTTTCCAAAAACCATTACCATATTGCATTTTAAGTATATTGTAAGAAGAATTATTTTCGAAGTTCTATCACTCTACGTCATATGTGTGTGTTGATGTACAGACGTGTGTGTATAAAACATAAAAGGATATCTGAGTTTTCTATTTCGATCAATGTGATTTGTTTGTTCTGTTTCTTACCGAACGATGATCAAATAGTATTTGTCTGTATTTCATAAATGAATAAACACATCGACAAAATATATCATCCGAATTAAACTGATACCTTGTATAGTTCTACGTAAATCAACATCATAAACTTATTAGAAAAAAAATAGTTCTAATAGAGTAAATACACAGAGGTAGATTACCTCATAGTGGTCCGGTCATTGTTGGAATCTTCTCACAACGATTATAATATGATTGATCATTGTGGACGTTTAAGCAATAAGAACATTCATGTCTTTTTACACAAGCCTGGCATCATTCCGGAATCTCGATTATATTCAGAAAAAGAAAACGTGAGATAATCTTAATCTGTTAATATTATATCATACAAGCAAGAGAATGAAACCAATATTGCTCGCCATACCCATCCTAAAGCTTCTTAACCTGAGGTTTTTTTTTTACTCTCTTATATCCTAAGATACTAACACAAATATAAATAAAAAAGATGATACTTCCCAAATATATTCAAAAAAAGGAAGGCTCTTCTTTCTATCACATTACAGGGAAGTATCGAAATCTAAGTAAATAATGGAGGTGTTGTCCTTTGTACGCATCGTTCTAGCTTCATTCAGCAGACCGTTTGCTATCTTCTCTGCACTATTCTCTGTCCCTCTCATCTGTTACATTCGTTTTTAAAACATAAACACTAAGATGAGATCGAGGTTTTCAGACATAGCAAATGTCTTGATGATTAAGATGTGTTTACCTGAAGTACTAGTTGCACAGCTTTCTTCGGACTCACCACATCCCATAACCCATCACTGCATAAATTCAGTTTTCACAATTAGTGAAAAGAATGAGAAAAAGGGAAAACCTTATTACCTCTGTTTAATGTTTTAATTACCTAGCCAATACAGCAAACACGTCTTTACTAGATTGATCGATACGCAAAGGCTCACTAATATATGGCTCTGCACTGAAACGGCTATCTTGCTGCTTTGGAAATTTGTCTCCAAGCATCCTCGCAAGGTTTATACCTGAAGAAAATTATCAAATCAGATTTGGTCATTTCGTTACAATGGAGCCAGAATCACCTGAGTGTCTATTTCATTGAGCTAATACCGAATATCCGAGTCTCTCCATCTCTCAAGGAGAGTCCTGCCTCTTGGATTCGTTTTCTCTCGGTCAAGCTAACAACTCGATGATCTTCAGTCATTTGTATATATCTCCCATCAAGACTGCCATATGCAAACCAAATCGCAATCAGTTAAAAAATATTGAAGCTACTATTATTATGCCAAGACTAATGTTTCCTGAGAGCAAAACACCTATCTGATAGGGTTGTGATTGTTAGTTAAGACCGATATCAAGGATAGACTCTCTTTCTATTTCCGCAAAGCAAAATTTACTACGATTTGCAGAAAAAAAAATGCATAGATCTCTCATCTATTAATGTCTATTCACTCTACCATATACCCCAGACTAGAAAGAATCTACTGATTCCAAAATAATAGGTTTTTCATTAGAAAGACCACACTCACTCACGCGTTAGACACGCAAGATCCTTGTTTCTAATAGAGTAATCAAGCCCACTCACTCTTTCTACACCAACAAATGCTGCTAACAGTTTATACTTTATACTCTGGTTAATGCAAGTTTCTGTAACTAAGTATCTTAATAGAGCAACATGATACTTTTAACATACTTGAATACGCATGCTGAATCCCCAAGATTGGCACACTGTGCGAATAGATTTTCTTCACCGTCTTTCCAAACCAAGAGAACAGTAGCTGTACAACCCTGCATCGATCGACTAGTTCATAAAGTAGGAAGCAATGAAAACTTTCCAGCCAATTTGTCAAGAAGACAAAATATGCAAACGAAGGAAAAAGGAAAAAGAAAGAAAAGGACAGGCTGCGGAACCTCGTATAGGTGATCATCCAAGCGAGCTTCTGTTCTAGCAAGCACGTCCCTAAGGACGTCCGAAGCATTCCTTTGTGATAACACTTTCTCCTTCTTCAGCGTGTCTGATAATATATTCGCCAGAACCTCAGGAATGATTCTGGAGAAGAAGTTCGATTAGCTTTAAAATTCAAGTATATAATTGTCGTTGGTTAAGACAAAAGATCAAACCAAAGATGCTCTAATTGTTAGTGAAGGCTCCTAGCATATAGTGATTAACACAATTACAAAAATTGAACAGAACAAGTTTCAACAACGATTTTTCTTCGTGGCTGCAACCACAGCTGCCAAAAAAATTAACAGATTCGCATGGCTTCTCACATGCAGTTAGATTTTTTCTACATTAAAGAATGATCAATAAATGAAGCAAACCCAAAAGAGAAACTCAGAAAGTAGATGCTGTTAGAAGTATAAACACAACCAACCGCAGCCTTTTTCAGGTTAGTAAATAGTTAAGTAACCGTGTATCTTTTGTAGGTTAAGCATAAAAAAGCCCCGAATAAGAAATGTCAAGGAAACTTTATAAAAGAAACTGGGAATAGAGGTTATCCAAATTTAAAACAGTGACTCACTTGCTAGCGGATTGAGCAGCCCCTACTCCCCCATGTCCATCACAAACACAAAACACCCCAAACTGGAAACGGTATACATTTAGAATTATGTTAGCAAAAGTAGTGAAGTCCATCATCACACAAACAACTCAAGATCACAAATCAAGGTAACCTTATTCGCCCCGGGAAGGGGCCACTTGTAATAAACAACATCTTCCATCGGAAGTTTCCTGCCTCCTCGACGTGCAGCCATGGGATCTGAGGCCAGGCCAATTCTGAACGGTGTCTGAAACTCATTCTGAGATGAGATACGGACCTTCCAAAGATGAACAAATTGCATGAAAGATCAATGAAGGAAGAAAACAAAAATTATCAGCAAGAACCTTCAACCACTCGGATCAACTTACATGGACCTTTGTAGATGTTCCCAAAGTTATGATATCTTCACTTGCAAGCTCGACAGGGTTACTCCACTTTCGGCTGCCTGAATTAGGATGACTTACTGACCGAGAGTTCAAGAGAGTTCCATTTAGGCTACCCCTGTCTACCAGCTCCCATTTCAATTTCTGAAATCAAAGCCAGGCAAGTGTGACGCACAGTGTAAGAAGTGACGTGTAGAAGTCGAGTAAATGAAACTATGTAGCTCCTTACAGCAGAATTCCATGTAATTTGTGCATGCTTCCCTGAAACTTCTGAGTCATTCAATACCATATTAGCAGGAGAAACCCTTCCAAGGTTCACTGGCAGCTTGGAGGTACTTTTGGAGTCCACAGCATACTGAAGCCCAATGGCAGGACCCGCAATGACCTCCAGGGACAGCCAACTTCCTGCATTTCTAACACAAAATATGATATATGTCTTGCACGACTAATTGAAGATATGGATTGTAGTTGCATTAGATGCCCTAGCAAAGCAAAAGAAGAAATTACTTTGATCTTTAATGAGTCCCGGAGAAAGCTCGGCAAGTCTATGCTTTTCCAGATCATATTGGAGGTCTTTACTTCTCTTATTCTGCCAGTCATAATTTTGCACTTCTTCCAGGCTAACTTTTTCAGCTGGATGTTTAAGCGTTTGGCCCAGCAAGGCATTGTCAGAAGGTTCAGAAATTACTTCTAGAACAAAGCTTTCACCTGCATAATTTAGGGCAGATTGGTAAAGGTCAAGAATGAGTAACGCATGGAGTTCATAACACAAAAAGGATGTCTCCGGTAACAGTCATATCATCTCCATCAATCTAATGATGTAGACTGAATCCAATTGGTCTTCAAAGACTTACCTAGGGTGGGATGGGGAGATGAAGAAGGAAGCCTTTGTTTGTAAGCACGTCCCTCAGTCAGAGATGAACGCAGAAGGCCTTCATTTGGGTAACAAGCTCCCTCTAAATCATATTCCCTTGTAACCTCACTGGTTTGACCTTGGATCAAATTCCCATCATCAGATACAAGAGGTCTCTGCAAATCCCCAGCCTGCAAAGAATGACGCTGAAAGTATCAGGGCTATAACCGAAGTAAGAAATTCACCTAAACTGGATGTTCCACCGGAGCAGACTTAAGCTAGCAGAAATGGAAAATCGATGAATGAGTGAATCAGTAGACTTTATCCATTTGTTTGTTACCATTTTCACGTAATTCCGATTCTCCGGTTAGAAAAATAAAATACAAAAAACTCACAGAATGCCTACAAAGAAGGTAACTAATAAGGACGAAGATTCCCACGATTAAATCTCCAACTCGCTGAAATGAAATATTCTATGCAACAATCACATTTTCCACCTATTCCTCGTGTTACTCCTATGGCTGCCACTGCCTAAAGATAAGCACCAAGCTCCGAATTTAGAAACAAATGCAAGAAAATTAACACGAGTC